TCATACTAGGGGGAATCAAAGGTGGCGAAGGATCTGGGAGCTCTGGTAGATCACAAGCTTAATAATGGCATCCAATGCCAAGCTGCGGTTTCTAAAGCGAGCAAAATCATCTCTTGTATTAAAAGAGGTATAGACTCCAGAGAGAGTGAGATATCATATTACCCCTGTACAAATCATTAGTAAGACCTCCTCTGGAATATGCAGTTCAGTTTTGGGCACCAATTCACAAAAAGAACATTGGGGAACTGGAGAAAGTACAGAGAAGGGTAACCAAACTGATAAGAGGCATGGAGGAGATCAGCTATGAGGAAAGATTAGAGGAACTGAATTTATTCTCTCTTGAGAAGAGGAGATTAAGGGGGGATATGATCAACATGTATAAATACATCAGTGGTTCATATAGTGAACTCGGTGTAGAGGTATTCACTCTGAGCTCATCACAGAGGACAAGGGGGCACTCTTTATGTCTGGAGGAAAAGAAATTTAATCTCCAAATGCGGAAAGGTTGTTTCTTCCACATTTTCACAACTCTTACTGTGAATAAACTCCCTCAAGGGTTGGTTCTGGCCAGCTCAATGAATTGCTTTTATAAAAAAAAAGAAAAAAAAAAAAAAAAAGAAAAGAGCCCGGATACTTTCTTAGATACACAGAATATAACTGGATACAAACATTTATAGGTAAAGTTGATCCAGGGAATATCCAATTGCCTCACGGGGGATCAGGAAGGAATTTTTTCCCCTGCAGGAGCAAATTGGATCATGCTTTGCTGGGCTTTTTTGCCTTCCTCTGGATCAACTGTGGGTATAGGACAGTGGTGGCGAACCCGTAGCACGCGTGCCACAGCCGGCACGCCGAGCCTTATCTGTGGGCACGCCAGGAGAATCCAGCGGCGCGCTGTCTTCCAGGCTGTAGTGTGCGTGACAGCCGGGTCCCAAGTGCGCATGCACAAGAAGCAGTGCTCCTTGTGAATGGTAAGGCGGTACCTGGGACACATGACAGATCCCAGAAGCCGCCGGACCAATCACAAAGCGCAGCGCTTCTCGCGCATGCGCACTGGGCATCCGGCTGTCCGACGAGCGCCCACACTACAGAAGCCGGGAAGACAGCGCGCGGCTGGATCGAGGAACAGGTAAGATAAAAAAAAAAAACTCTGCGGAAGTAAGAGCGGGTACCTGTCAAATTCAGGTACCCGCTCCCCCTCCCTCCCCAAAGGTCAGCAGTCATCCCTGTGCTGTGTCCCCAGTCTCTGGTCATCCCTGTGCTGTGTCCCCAGTCTCTGGTCATCCCTGTGCTGTGTCCCCAGTCTCTGGTCATCCCTGTGCTGTGTCCCCAGTCTCTGGTCATCCCTGTGCTGTGTCCCCAGTCTCTGGTCATCCCTGTGCTGTGTCCCCAGTCTCTGGTCATCCCTGTGCTGTGTCCCCAGTCTCTGGTCATCCCTGTGCTGTGTCCGCAGTCTCTGGTCATCCCTGTGCTGTGTCCGCAGTCTCTGGTCATCCCTGTGCTGTGTCCGCAGTCTCTGGTCATCCCTGTGCTGTGTCCGCAGTCTCTGGTCATCCCTGTGCTGTGTCCGCAGTCTCTGGTCATCCCTGTGCTGTGTCCGCAGTCTCTGGTCATCCCTGTGCTGTGTCCGCAGTCTCTGGTCATCCCTGTGCTGTGTCCGCAGTCTCTGGTCATCCCTGTGCTGTGTCCGCAGTCTCTGGTCATCCCTGTGCTGTGTCCCCAGTCTCTGGTCATCCCTGTGCTGTGTCCCCAGTCTCTGGTCATCCCTGTGCTGTGTCCCCAGTCTCTGGTCATCCCTGTGCTGTGTCCCCAGTCTCTGGTCATCCCTGTGCTGTGTCCGCAGTCTCTGGTCATCCCTGTGCTGTGTCCGCAGTCTCTGGTCATCCCTGTGCTGTGTCCGCAGTCTCTGGTCATCCCTGTGCTGTGTCCGCAGTCTCTGGTCATCCCTGTGCTGTGTCCGCAGTCTCTGGTCATCCCTGTGCTGTGTCCGCAGTCTCTGGTCATCCCTGTGCTGTGTCCGCAGTCTCTGGTCATCCCTGTGCTGTGTCCGCAGTCTCTGGTCATCCCTGTACTGTGTCCGCAGTCTCTGGTCATCCCTGTACTGTGTCCGCAGTCTCTGGTCATCCCTGTACTGTGTCCGCAGTCTCTGGTCATCCCTGTACTGTGTCCGCAGTCTCTGGTCATCCCTGTACTGTGTCCGCAGTCTCTGGTCATCCCTGTACTGTGTCCGCAGTCTCTGGTCATCCCTGTACTGTGTCCGCAGTCTCTGGTCATCCCTGTACTGTGTCCGCAGTCTCTGGTCATCCCTGTACTGTGTCCGCAGTCTCTGGTCATCCCTGTACTGTGTCCGCAGTCTCTGGTCATCCCTGTACTGTGTCCGCAGTCTCTGGTCATCCCTGTACTGTGTCCGCAGTTTCTGGTCATCCCTGTACTGTGTCCGCAGTCTCTGGTCATCCCTGTACTGTGTCCGCAGTCTCTGGTCATCCCTGTACTGTGTCCGCAGTCTCTGGTCATCCCTGTACTGTGTCCGCAGTCTCTGGTCATCCCTGTACTGTGTCCGCAGTCTCTGGTCATCCCTGTACTGTTAATTAGTTTGCACTACTGTACGAGTTGTTTTTTCTAAACCAAAAGCTCGATATTCAGGTTTCATTGCAGTGTTGGCACTTTGAAAGAAATAAGTTGGTTTTGGGTTGCAGTTTGGGCACTCGGGCTCAAAAAGGTTCGCCATCACTGGCATAGGATTAGAACTTTTTTTTTTTTTTTTGATGGTTGAACTGGATGGACTTTTGTCTTTTTTCAGCCAGACTAACTATGTATACTTCTGTGCCGTATGAATTGTATGTCGTTTGACAATTAGAAGGAAAAAAAAAAAACCCCACACTTTGTCAAAAATAAAATCTGATTAAAAAACCTCCAGGAATGAGATAACTTTATACACTTCCATTTGCCCATCTTGATCCAAATGAATTATGCAGATGCCCCTCTGGCTGATGGCGAATATGTAATTTACTGCTGTAGCCTATACTATCTAGTGGGTGCTCCAGCGACTTCCCCTCTGTGTGCTAAAAAAAATAATCTCTTGCTCCTGTGTGTCTGTCACTCAGGAGAAGCCTTTAGTATTTTTTTCAAGGAATACAACTGATCTGATTGTCTGAGAAAGTGATAATGTTATCTGCCCGCCTCTACAAGTGATGCTCTTTATTTAGTACACTGAGGGTAAGTCGCTTGAGCCTCCACCGGAAGGAGACATGGCTTTCTGTATGTAGCATAGGCTACATCAGTAAACTACAGATTTACCATTGGCCATATAGGGGTGGCACCTGCCTAATTTGTTTGGCCAAGTCAGCCCAAAATACGTGTATGAAGTTATTCCATTCCTGGGGTTTTTCTTTAAACTCACTTTAAAACATTAACCACAGTTCACATGTGGTATATGCGGATTGGATGCAATTTGAATTGCATCCAATCTGCATGACATGTGAAATAACAATGCTTCCTATGGTGCCTGTTCACAAATGTCCAGTGCACTGGCAGTGCGAATTCAGTGTGGATTGCAAAAAAAAAAAAAAAAGAAGAAGCGTGCTGTCCGGTGTGGTCCGGTTCAGGTGCGGATTACAGGCTATTGACTTCTATGGGAGTTTCTAAACCACACGTGTGAACAGGATAAAATCCTGACCTGAACCTGATGTAAACCTGACCCGAACCACTGAACAAATACCATGCCAATTGGCTATGAAACCTGAGCTTCAATCCGCACCGCACATTTGTGAATCAGCTCTTATATTACTATGGGTTTGCTGGGAACAATGGTCTTTCAATGACATGGTTTGCAAAAAATAACAAACACATAGAATTTAAAAACCATACATTTATTTTCTATTTTCAAAATAAAAAAAAAACTCTTCTATATTTCTCACAGATACCAGAATGCTGATCACCTTTATACATGAAATTGCAAAGAATAACTGTGCAGGAGAACTGAGCACGCAAAGGCATCTCTGCACACGTTTAACATGTACACACTCGTAAAATGCTTAACCTAGACACATCTTCTGTATGCAGAGCAAAGGCACATGATGCATGCACATATCTCCCTCGCACAAGCATTCACAAGATCTGGCACTATTATTGCACAATCAACTGCCTTCTACAGATGTAGAAGCAGTGTGGCTTATGAAATATATCTGTTCCCTAACATGAACAGATACTAAGGTAACTCATTTTTGGGAGCAGTGATATGTAGCCCAAATATATCCACATAGAAATGTTTGGTGGAGAGACATGATGTAAGAACAGTCTGGTTATTTCTAACAAGTCTGTAATATAATTATCTAGCTGTAGACAGTGAAAGTGCCAAGCACCCAGAGCTACGAAAGAATGCATTTAAAAAAAACAATGATTAAGAAGCTGAAGTACCGTGGTGACGTACAGACACTAAACTGCTGGTGTGCATGTAAATAGTACATTACTGTAGGTGCATTAATAATTCTATTATACATTCATATGAGCAAAATCTGTAGTTGGTAAGTGGGTTTAGCCTCTTTCTTGAAGCTAGGTAATGTATGTAATGTAAGTTATCCATGCCTAAGGCACAGACAGACATGCAGTGGCTTTTTTCAGCTTCAGATATTTTTATAGGAGCTCAGTGCTGCATTGGTTCAGACATGTATGATTATCAATATATATAATAAACAGCTTAAGACCCTTCACCTTGTATATAAAAACAGAAATAAAATGAAAAACTATACAAAAAATATTAGCACGTTCATAATTCTTTGGTTAGAAATATAAAATAAAACATATAATAAAAAAAGACAAAAAAAAAAAAAGAATGTAGGTGGAGAAAAATAAATAAAAAAGCAAAACAGAACAAAAACTAAAAAAAAAAAATAGGAAGGCATTTCAAGCAAAAAAGTGTTGGGGAGGAGTGTAAAATTGAGACAAAAGACTACTTCATGTGTCCCATTGCCATTTGGTTCAGTCCATCAGAGGAATATGGATCAGTCCTTTTTCGGCAAAAAAGGCTGGTTCTCTTCAGGCTGAGGTCCAGGATCACTTAAACAGCGCTGTAATCGTTGAGTGTTAGGGCTGTCACTGGGGCCAAATACATCATCTCCCTGGAGAAGGTGGCTCTCGTGCAACTATAGTAATCCCACCTTCATCTTCTCCCTCCTCTTGTGTTTCATCCACAATATCTACAGACTCAGGTGAAGCTGGGTCAATAGTGATTACAGGGACATCCTTAGAGCCTGGTTTTGGCTCATACGCAAGAGGGTCTGAGGAGTAGAGAAAGCAAAAAAATGGAAAATAGATGAAAACAGGTTACGTCATAAATAACCAAGTTTTAAATTCTGCAGTATTTTTGTCAGTACAAGGCAACACATGCTTAGTACAGGTTCAGTGGCCTTCTAAGCTATACATAATACTGGGGACAAGTAAGTGGATCCATATATTCAGGACTTGTTTATCTGAAATGCTAACTCTACACATATAGCTAGAGATCAGCAAGTGCTCTGGGCTTACATATTATTAAGAGACGATTGTATCCAGATCCCATATATTACACAAGAAAAAATGAAGAACTCCCATGGAACTGGGAATCAGGACAAATATAATACTGGTGACAAGGAAAATCTTAGGGCCAAATATTACCACCAATAAGGAGTGACTCTGTACATACATCTCCGTGTACACACATACATTACTGGTAATAAAGAGGGATTCAGGATAACTCACATACAGTATTGTTTAACATGAAGTGTCGAGCTCTGGGCACACACAATACCTATCATTTGTGCTCACCTGAACCCACACGAGCTCTGGTAAGGGTGGGAGAGTCCAACTTGTGTGCAGGAACAGTCAAATAATTATTTGCCTAGAACAAACAGAGCAATTACAAGAGCCTGTGTGGTCTTTTAATGAAAGTGTTAATGTCGATATTTATAATTATACATATAAACAACAATTATTTATAATAAGTAACCCTTTTTAAACTACACCCAAACATGTATTTTTCATATATTTAACAACCAACTTACATTTATTTTTTTTTTTTTGCCAAAGGACCAGGTTTGTGGAATATTTCATTGTAATACTTGTATATGGTATATGTACATAAACCTGACTTTTCAACAGGGATGAACAACAAACTGAAATCTTTTAGGTGGAGGGAAGTAAAAATAAAAAACTAAAATAATATGGCTGCATAAGTGTGCACAGTCTTAAACTAATACTTTGTTGAAGCACCTTTTGATTTGATTCCAGCACTCAGTCTTTTTGGGTATGAGTCTATCAGCATGGCACATCTTGACTTGGCAATATTTGCCCACTCTTCCTTGCAAAAACACTCCAAATCTATTAGACTGCGAGGGCATCTCCTGTGCACAGCCCTCTTCAGATCACCCCACAGATTTTCGATCGGGTTCAGGTCTGGGCTCTGGCTGGGCCATTCCAAAACTTTAATCCTCTTCTGGTGAAGCCATTCCTTTGTTGATTTGGATGTATGCTTTGGGTCGCTGTCAAGCTGAAAGATGAAGTTCCTCTTCATGTTCAGCTTTCTTGCAGAAGCCTGAAGGTTTTGTACCAATATTGACTGGTATTTGGAACTGTTCATAATTTCCTCTACCTTGAATAAGGCCCCAGTTCCAGCTTAAGAAAAACCACCTCAAAGCATGATGTTGCCACCACCATGCTTCACTGTGGGTATGGTGATCTTTTGGTGATGTGCAGTGTTGTTTTTGTGCCAAACATATCTTTTGGAATTATGGCCAAAAAGTTCAACCTTGGTTTCATTAGACCAGAACACATTTTCCCACATGCTTTTGAGAGAGACTTCAGATTTGTTTTTGCAAAATTTAGCAAGGCTTGGATATTTTTCCTTGTAAGATAAGGCTTCCATCTTACCACTCTACCCCATAGCCCAGATATATGAAGAATATGGGAGATTGTTGTCACACGTACCACATAGCCAGTACTTGCCAGATATTTCTGTAGCTGCTTTACTGTTGCTCTTGGCAGAATCCCAGACCAGTTTTCTCGTCTTTTCATCAATTTTGGAGGGACATCCAGTTCTCGGTAATGTCACTGTTGCACCATATTTTCTCCACTTGATGATGACTGTCTGCACTGTGTTCTATGGTATATCTAATGCCTTGAAAATTCTTTTGCACCCTTCTCCTGATGTCTTTAAACAATGATATCCCTCTGATGCTTTGGAAGCTCTCTGCGGACCATGGCTTTTGCTATAAGATGTGACTAAGAAAATATCAGGAAAGACCTACTAGAACAGCTGAACTTTATTTGGGTTAATCAGCGACTCCTATTTAACATGATTTTGACTGTGATTGCGTAATGCTGAACACAGCTACATCCCCAGTTATAAGAGGGTGTGCACACTTATGCAACCACATTATTTTAGTTTTTTATGTTTACTCCCCCCTTCTAAAAGATTTCAGTTTGTTTTTCAATTCAGTTGTACAATTTATAGGTCACATTAAAAAGGAGGAAAAAGTTCTGAAATTATTTAGATTTGTCTCACTTTTTTTACATCATCACAAAAACCTGACATCTTAACGGGGACGTGTAGACTTTTTTTATATACACTATGTGTGTGTGTGTGTGTATTTTATATATATTCCCGATCCACTAGCCCTGATCTATTTAAATGTTCCCTTTGATCTCCACTTTTTGATTTGACAAAGAAGCTGCCATGTTGTCTGGGAAAACATTGTGATGCCAGCTCCCTCTCCAGCATAGTGGCCATATGGACAAGTAGTGACAAAGTCCTAGTGATGCCATTTTCAGGGACGTCAATTCTGGTGTTCTGAGTGAGTGCACCGCCGGTTCCAGCTCTTCTTCCATCCATTGACACTTCAGTGTCTCCCAGCCTGCTTGTTCTTTTTTGCGGGTTTTAGGTCTCAGCATCACCCCTATCGAGTGGCTACGAGGTTGTGTCACACATTTTTATATTTAATAAAAAGGACCATCTTACCATTATTGAGTGGTTCAGTGTGCATTCACTGGATGGACTGACATCTCTTTATGGGCACCTTTACTAGTTTGCAGGATACGAACATTTATTTCTGACTTATTCAGTCATTAAATCTTCACACCTTTGTGTGCTGCACATCTTGGTTCAATCTTGGCTTAACAGATTCCTCTGTCCTCCAACAACTGGAGCTTATGCCTGTAGCCCTGCTTTACGATGTTGATGGGACAGTAGATATAGAAGTAGTGGTGAACAAGAAGGCAACATCTTGAGAAAGTGGAAGCAGGGGAATATCCTGAACACTCTCTAAAGGGAGTCTTCCAGAGAACCACATTCAAGTCCCAGTCCCACTGTAACAGGGAACGCCTTGGGTGCCAGATGACAAATCCCTTGAATTAAGGTGCGAAGCAGGAAGTGCATGGCCAAGAGGCAGTAAAAAAAAAAAACAAAACAAAAAACAATGGGGGCAGAAACTTGACTCATAATGGTACTCAAGGCAAATTATTGTTCAATGCCTCGATGAGGAAAGGCCAACACCCAAGCCACCAAAACGGGACATGGATGCACACACAGAGCCTTGCACCAGGCAATATAAACCTTCCAGGGATGATGATATATCTCCCCAGAGGCCTGCAACATTGTGGGGAACACCCAACCCGACAACTCCATGACCCTCAAATCTGGCTTTCAAGAACCTACTCCTGTAGGTGGCGCTTTAAAACCCTATGGTCAAGATTCCGAAAAGCTGCATCTGTCAAAGAACGCAAGAGAAAGATCTGTTGTATATGTCCCTTAATGGGAAACAACTTTTTGGTCAATCCCTGGACAAATTCCCAGCAGGAGAAAATTGGATCGTGCTTTGCTGGGGGTTTTTTTTGCCTTCCTCTGGATCAACTGGGTATAGGTTTTTTTTTCTATGGTTGAACTGGATGGACTTTTATCTTTTTTCAGCCAGAATACCTATATAACTATATGTAAATTAATCAAATATGTCACCAGGAGAAAAAGCACCTATTTTTGCTCTGCACAAGAAGGCTAAGACTGACACAGGGAAACTCTCAAAGCTCCCAGGCCTTCAAGTCCAAAGCAAGCCTGGGACTTTGTTCTGCCATAAATCCAGGACTCCTAAATCCTCCAAATCCGTAAGCAAGTCCTCTTTCACAATCAGAGGAAGTTTCCACTTGTCACAGTAGGGGAGGTGTGTTCAGAATGTGGCTTTCAGGGGCTGCAAGCTAGAATTTTAATCTGCACCTCTGCCCTATTTTATGTTGTCAAACCTGCCAGCATCCCTACAAAGACTACCTTCAAGTTGCTCTAACGCAGCTCTTCTCTCAAGGGGCTACAGCCTTTTTGTTCTGAAAAAGTAAACATTCCAGGGTTTTTATTCAAACCTATTCACCTTTTTCTAAGCAAAAAGGGGGAATTTGCCCCATTCTGGATTCAAGCACAAACATTCTGCATGGAATCTACAGTCAGCCTTACTTCCTTCTATCCAGAGACTTTCTTACCTCTGTAGACATCAAAGATGCCCAGTTGCATATCACCATCTTTCTGGCACATCAACACTTCTTGTATTTTGTGGCGGTCATACACTATTACCAGTTTATTACGCATCTGCACCTTGGGTCTTCACCACGGTGCTAGCCTCTGTACTTTGCCCTACTTTGAATTTGGGGGGCATTCCCATGGTGGGATAACTTCTTATAGAGGAACACAATTAGCACAAACTGTTTTCCATTGCTGCATCAAATTGTTCAAACTCTGCACTAAAACCAACTCATTGCTTGGTAGTATCTAGGCCTCCTCCCTGGATACTTTTCTGTCTAGACATTTCCTAACACAGGGAAGACAAGAAATCCATGTTAAAATGCTACAGTGCAGGAGCCAACCAACTCTACTCTTTTTGCATGAGCGTTTTGGTCTTAATGTTTGCCTCCTTCAACTCAACATTCTTACTGCATAGCACAAGCAGACTTTGTCTCTCAGTCTGACCCACAAAACCAGACTTGCTCTTGCCTGGTTGATCACCAGAATTAGTTTTGGGAAAAAACATTTTTCCACTGGTCTGAAAGATTCACAACTGATGCCAGCTTGTTGGCTGGGGAGTAGTCCTGGACACTCCCTCGGTGCAAGGGACTTGGTTGCCTGAGGAAACAGGTAGCCCAGTTAACATTATGGAGTGGTTTGCCTCTTTAATGCCATAGCAGTGGCTTACATAAACCATCAATGAGGAGCCACAGGTTCCTTCAGCTCAAAAAAAAAAAAAAAAAAAAAAAAAAAAAAAAGCTGATCGGATTCTGGCTTGGACAGAACTTCACATCCCAGCCCTCCCTGATGTGCCCAAACCAGGTGTGGGAAACCTGGGCACATCCTCAGTCATCACTGGCTGGACTCAGGAGAATAGTCTCTTCATACCAGGTGTTTCAAACCTTGCATTGCAGGTGGGGGATGCCGGATGTGGACCTTCTGGCATCCAGCAGTAAACTGAGCAAATTTGTCCTCAGGTTCAAGGATCATCTAGCCTTTGCAGTGGATGGTTCCTCTGAATAGTCTTCTTAGTCTGCTCCATAGGATCGAGATGGAGAACATTGCAGTCGTTCTTTCACAATATTTTTCTTATATTTGCATAAAAAATTAAGGCATACATACAAAACAGTGACCAGACGCCAGAGCCAACAACGAAAAGCCGGAGAGAGCCCACAGTATACATGCCATGTAGATTAACGCCATAAAAAGAGCCAAAAGGCAATAAACAGGCTCAGCGCTACTGGCGATAAATTACATCTAAAAAACTGAAAAAAAGAGAAAGACGGAAGGATGATAAGAAAAAGGGAAGAAAAAAAAAAAAAAAAAAGAAAAAAGGGGGGGGGGGGGGGGGGGGGGGGGCACAGTAGAGAAAGTAGGCTCCACCCCAGGAGAAATTTATCCTGGGCATCCCTGAGTATTGCTGTAAGTTTCTTGTTCACCATCGTCCCCCGTGTACCAATCACTTCACCCCCTCAAAAAAGAGGAGAGGTGTTTTCCATTCCCCCCGCAATGGTTTGTTTAGTGACCATAAAAATATGTTGCCAGTATAAGTTTCATCTGTTACAACATGGGCTTGTGGAGTAGAGCTTCCTATGGGTCTTTACATATATTGGAGTAAAAGATCGTATTGACCAAAGCGTACACTCTAATCCATAGCTGCTTGAGTTTGGGACATGTCCACCATATGTGCTTCATATTGCCTGGGTCGAAGTATTTTGCAGTTCTCACTGGGGTATGATACCACCTAGACATGACCTTAAACAAATTCTCCAGGGCCAGAATGTTATGCGAGGACAAATCCTACGGGGACTGTAGGGCACCAAAATGCGCTTCCCAACTTGAACAGTACGAGGGAGGCTTGGGGAAGCACCTAAAAGAGAAGAATAGACTAGAGTAGAGAAAGCAAGCCCTGAGTGGTCAGGCAGGTAAAGCATCAGGTTTCAAATGCCGTTGAGAGCTGAAAGCCATCATAATTCCAAACTAGAGAGTCTACAAAATTACGAATCTGGATATAGCAGTGTTTCTCACGGTCGGGAGCTTCAAATGTTTCCTCAAGCTGCTAAAAGGTGTATACTCCTCGGTTCATGAGGAAAGAACGGACCATCATCAGGCCTTTGAAGCAGCACTACTTAAATCTATGAGGGTCATCAAACCAGCTTTGTGGACATTGTGATCATGTGATTGCATAGCGAAAGCGGCCAGGTACCAGGAGCCATGTACCCCAGGCGGCGTGCCAGTGCACATGTGCTAAGTGACGTACAGGTACGTCACTTAGCCTGTAGCTTCTGCCCGCAGTGTATGTACTGGGGGTGGTAGACAACTGGATAAAGTAAAAAAAAAAAAATTCAATAATGAGTGCATATTGTATCATTAGAACATATACAGAAATGCAAGATACAAGAATGAGAGAGAAATTCCCCAGCACTGAAACTATTCAGTATGTTGTGTGTTCAAATGTTTTGTGCTTTATTAGCTTCAGTAAAGCTGCTTCATATTAAAGCACTTACCCTCTGGTCTATTTGATGAATTTTTTGTCTTCTGAGTAACATTTGATTCCAGGCATCTTCATAGGGATCAGCTACCAACGTGTGACGATTGTATGAGCGTAGCTGCAGAGATTTTAGTGTAAAAAAAATATTAACAAAAAAAAAATAAAAACAGTTTCTAGCACATTATATAAACAAAAAGTGTAGTGCAACCTCTAAGCTTCCACCACATATGCAATAACTTAACTGTCCCAAAATACAAGTCCACCAAAAATTAAGAACATTTTTTCTAGCACATACAAAGTTATATTGCATGTCTGGGTAAACAGACTTAGATTTAAAGCCTAACTCCACTCTAAATTAAAGGCCAAGGCACCTTTCTGAACACTTTTCATGTTACCCAAACTGTCCCCTCCCACCTTAGAGAAGCCAGAAGTTCTTTTCCTTGCCACCATCTTTAAAATTTGAAATCGGAGAAGCTGCACCTGGCTCCACCTCCACAGGCCACAAGATTCACGTGAATGAAAAAACTATCAGCAAGGGGACTTGAAGTTTACAACAGAACACAAGAGCGGTGAACTCACTACAATTCTAGTCCCCCAACACTTCCATACAGCCCTGTAACCAAAGGTCCACACCTCAGTATAAACCAAAGGCTGCAGGAGCCCAAGCATTGCATCCAGTCAACTGGTAACAGTCTCAATGCTATAAAAATCCATGTTTTAAGTGACAGAGGGCTAGCAAAAAGGTCTGCTTTTAAGTGTCCCTTTAGTTTTGAATAGTGGTGAGGGGTTAGAACACCTGTCAATTTTCATAGCTGTGTCCTTGTTAGGGAGATTTACCCTCTCTGTTTCCACTGGTGACCAAAGTTACCAGAACTGAAAGCAATGGAAAACGCAAACCTGTCACTAAAACATCAATAGAGGAAAAATGAGGACACTATGTCCAGTGATGTCTAGGGGGTATTTCCCAAACTTTGAAGAGATTTCCTCCCCACTTCCTGCTGGGTCTATAGAATGTGAAATCTACAGATCCTGTATATGTAACCAAATTAAAGCTGGGCTTCATGTAATGATTGAAATATACATGTTAAATAATGTACCTATCTAACTCCACTGCAGTTGATTAGTTCTGCTTGGTCAAAGAACCAGTCTCCATTTGTTCAATTGAAAATGCAACACTATACAGATCAGGTATTTAATAATGCTCTCTACCAGCAAGTTCCCTGGGTTAAGGAGGGTATACACCAAGTTAAATGAAAAAAATTGACAGATCAGGCAATGTGGATGCAGGAATCTCCCCCACTGCGCCATAGTATTCTGTCATTTTTACATCCGTAAAAAGATTTAACAAGGGCTGCAAGTTTATTTGCATAATAGCAAACTTGTCTAAAAATAAAGAGTTTAACGTATCTTACCCTTTGGCGGGTCTTTTGCAAGTTTGTGCGCAGAATCTTGCGTATCTCCTCCTCTTTCACCTTGGACAATGCTGGAAGGATTCTCTCTGGCTTAGGTTTAGGCTGAATATTTCTGAAGAAAAGAAAACCTGTGAGTATCTTCATACATGGATTCTCTCCATTAGCTCAATAAGTCAATCATTTTGTGAAGCCACAGCCAAAGTCGGTGAAATTGAGCTCTAAAGCTGACCATACAGGTCTCAAATATCTACTGATTCCTGTGAATTGGCTAAAATTTGAGCTGTGGATAGCCCTGCCAACACTACACAGCTTCACAAACTCAGATTAAAAAAAACAAAAACAAAGTATCAGAAAAAAGTGGGCCAAACCATGAGTGTAGCCAATCAGTTAGAGTCACTGTTTGGGAATTCTGACAACCATGGGCAACGGCTGTCAGAACACAGTAACCAGCGGCAGGAGATGCGTTTATCCATGCCATTTAATGAGAGAAAAATCTAGCACCAACGTTGGTAAAAAAAAAAAAAAGAAAAACGAAACAATTGTAGAAGAAAAAAAAAAAAAAAAAAAGAAGCTATGCAGGAGCATGGCCTCAAACATGCAGGCAGCCTGTTACTCTATGGGGACACAGCGCCTGTACAAACAGCCGCAAGGTCCTAATTTGGCAGGGGAGCGGGTAAGTGTCCCTGAATGCACACGGTCTGTGTTTGGGGTCATGCACCTGTACCCACACACCAGTTAAATTAGAACCTGTTACTGTGTTCATGTAGCTGCCGCATTGCCATAGATTAACACAGGCTGTCTGCACGCAGCTCCAGCCACATAAACAAAACATTGATCACACTGTACAGACCACAGCATCCATGTGAATGAGTTGCAAGACCTCATTCACACATAGCACATTTCTGATCCACGGGGTCAAAGGCGTTTGCATGCAGCCTGTATGAATCCACAACTGGCTGACAGATACTATGGCTGTACACCGGTAATCTCACATCCTGGACATGAACTGGGTTGCTTATAAATCCCTACATGGTAGTAACTACACATGTTACTGCACATCTGAGTATAGCCACGATGTGTCTGTCAGCCAGTCATTCATTTGTACAGGCGTCTGCCCACAGCTTTACACAAACCCCTTTGACTCCTGGGCACAGAAATACACTCCTTCTTGATGTACAGAACTTTATGCCCAATGAATGAGGCCTAGACCACAACAGTCATCATTTTATCACAATGTACAGCAATGCAGTGCGCACACATGGCACTGCAATTCAGCATCAGAAAAATTCATAGGTGAAAGCCAAACTCTAGATTGTTTTATAGCTTTGACTACCTTCGACTTTCACAATTTCGCAAACAGGAACAATTTAAAATTTACAAAATTTTTTTTACTAATACAATACAGTTTTATATTAATAGGAATTTGGCAGGAATTTTGTAAGTTTTGGAATTTTGTAATGATCTGGCCTCCGGAGTTTAAAAGTAGGGCTCATGACTTTGCAGACAAGGGGTTAAAGGAAAATCATCACCACATTATTAAAGTGTTACTAAACCCAGGACCCTGCATCCACTACACCTGGTCTCCCACAGTACACAGAACATGGAAATGCAACTATTTTAATCAGGTTGGATTTGATTTAAATCAAACGGATTTAAATCACAATTTAAATCACTAGTCAGTAGGGCTTGATTTAAATCCTAGTTTTCTACATAAAGACTAATTCTTGCTGGTATAACTTTAATATGCAAGTAGATGAAGATTTTTAGAATAACAACTTTTCATATTAGTTTTTTTTATCCCCAGTTTATTATATTTGGACAACTTTTCTGTTGTACTTAGGAAGGAGAAAAATGATCATTACCTTAATAATAACAATTTAAATAGATTTATTCAACTGAAACAATAACATTCCAGCATATGTGATTTGCTTAAACATCCATGTTTGTTAACTAATTTGGCTAAACAAAAATATATATATTTTAAGAAACGTAGACTGTCAGCCCCTTCCTCCTCACACTTAGTTTCACTTTCTTCTTGTGCAGATCTATTCCACTCCAAAAAACAATCAGAAAAATATTGTTTCTATTCTATTCACTGAACTTCTTGAAACTTAGCACTGAAGGGGTTGATTCTGTATTCATAGGTTTGTAGAAGTTAGGATTAAGGTCTTTTTCTTAACTCTGTTCATGTTATAACATTTTTGCTGTGAAGAAGAGGCATGTGATCTCCGCTGAGTCAAATTCAGTTTTGAGAACTGCAAAAGTAAACCAAGCATCTGTGATAATATCTTGTAGGCAGAGAAACTGCCCAATAATCTTACAAAAACCTCTGGAAGAGCATGACATTGTGAATGGATTAATGGAATTTATTTACCAAAACAATTAAACATATACAGCCTTATTCTACATAATTAAAAAACTAATCTTTATTTCATGATGGAATAGCCTTTGGATGGTAATATATTTTCCTCAAAAAGCATTTTATTTAAAAAAATCCGATTTAAATAAAAAAAATCAAATTTTTTTGATTTTTTAAAAAAAAAAATTGATTTTTATCCACCCTGATTTTAATAAATATAAACTGCTAAATACCTTTTTTCATCAGCGGTTAGAGTAGTCCTGTGACTTCTGTGTGCAGCCCAGCACTAGCTAAAGCTTGTAGGAGGAGTTTTCTTTCTGCTCTAGCATGGAAATCCCCTGACCTCTGTCTGGATAGTGCTGATTGGCCCTGTGCTGATCACATACATTCTCCCAAGAAAGAAAAAAAAAACACAAAACACCTCTCTAGCAATACACACTAAACTGAGCATATGCATGCCTACAGTTCAATCTGGAGAAAAGAGGCGGTCGCTTGAAAAAGGGGAGGAACAGAGAAGAAAGGATCAAACAGCCTTTTTACACAATGCAGAGGATTAACCCCTTAGGTTCCAACGAGTATAACAAGCATGTTTTACTGCACATATAAACTGATTTTACTGTTGTGGGTTTAGTAACACTTTAAATAAAAACCTTTCCTTTGAAAACAAGCTTCAGATCTATTTAGTATAATGCACTGCACATCACTGCTCATAATCAGAGTTCAGTAAGTGGTCATCCAATTCTCTTAAACTGCCCCTATCCTAAACACAGTGGATGGCACCTATTGTTATATGTTAAAATACTGATAATAAAGTCACTATTATTCAATGCATATAGACAGCAAGCACAAAAAGTATTACTATTTCCATTGCCCCATCAATGCATAACAAAAAAAGTTTTGGCTGGAGCTGCACTTTAATTTACAAGCGGCTAATGAATGTGCCATCATACTTACTGCATGGAAACCGTAGAAACAGTGGATGGGATTTTACCAATGCCACCGCTCTCTACCAATTCTATTGCCTGCTTCATCTCCATTTTGTGATAAAAGGCAATGAGCTGAGGCTCTGTGGATCGCTCCCCTGCAATAAGGCACTTCTTCACGTAGGTTTTATTAAAACGATTCAGCCTAAGTAGTATAGAAAATGAGAGAATGTTTTATTAGAGTTTTGAGCAATATTTTAATGAATTTTATTTGACATGTAGTGTTAATACATAATGTGTATTGTAATATACCGTATTTTTCGCTCCATAAGACGCACTTGACCATAAGACGCACCTAGGTTTTAGAAGCAGAAAACAGGAAAAAAATATTCTAAACCAATGGACTGCAGACACAGTACAGGAGATGACCAGAGACTGCGGACACAGTACAGGAGATGACCAGAGACTGCGGACACAGTACAGGAGATGACCAGAGACTGCGGACACAGTACAGGAGATGACCAGAGACTGCGGACACAGTACAGGAGATGACCAGAGACTGCGGACACAGTACAGGAGATGACCAGAGACTGCGGACACAGTACAGGAGATGACCAGAGACTGCGGACACAGTACAGGAGATGACCAGAGACTGCGGACACAGTACAGGAGATGACCAGAGACTGCAGACACAGTACAGGAGATGACCAGAGAGTGCGGACACAGTACAGGAGATGACCAGAGAGTGCGGACACAGTACAGGAGATGACCAGAGACTGCGGACACAGTACAGGAGATGACCAGAGACTGCGGACACAGTACAGGAGATGACCAGAGACTGCGGACACAGTACAGGAGATGACCAGAGACTGCGGACACAGTACAGGAGATGACCAGAGACTGCGGACACAGTACAGGAGATGACCAGAGACTGCGGACACAGTACTGGAGATGACCAGAGACTGCGGACACAGTACTGGAGATGACCAGAGACTGCGGACACAGTACTGGAGATGACCAGAGACTGCGGACACAGTACTGGAGATGACCAGAGACTGCGGACACAGTACAGGAGATGACCAGAGACTGCGGACACAGTACAGGAGATGACCAGAGACTGCGGACACAGTACAGGAGATGACCAGAGACTGCGGACACAGTACAGGAGATGACCAGAGACTGCGGACACAGTACAGGAGATGACCAGAGACTGCGGACACAGTACAGGAGATGACCAGAGACTGCGGACACAGTACAGGAGATGACCAGAGACTGCGGACACAGTACAGGAGATGACCAGAGACTGCGGACACAGTACAGGAGATGACCAGAGACTGCGGACACAGTACTGGAGATGACCAGAGACTGCGGACACAGTACTGGAGATGACCAGAGACTGCGGACACAGTACTGGAGATGACCAGAGACTGCGGACACAGTACAGGAGATGACCAGAGACTGCGGACACAGTACAGGAGATGACCAGAGACTGCGGACACAGTACTGGAGATGACCAGAGACTGCGGACACAGTACTGGAGATGACCAGAGACTGCGGACACAGTACAGGAGATGACCAGAGACTGCGGACACAGTACAGGAGATGACCAGAGACTGCGGACACAGTACTGGAGATGACCAGAGACTGCGGACACAGTACAGGAGATGACCAGAGACTGCGGACACAGTACAGGAGATGACCAGAGACTGCGGACACAGTACAGGAGATGACCAGAGACTGCGGACACAGTACAGGAGATGACCAGAGACTGCGGACACAGTACTGGAGATGACCAGAGACTGCGGACACAGTACTGGAGATGACCAGAGACTGCGGACATAGTACAGGAGATGACCAGAGACTGCGGACAGTACAGGAGATGACTGCTGACCTTTGGGGAGGGGGGGGGGGGAGCGGGTACCTGCTCTTACTTCCGCGGAGTTGTTCTTTGGCTAGTGTCCGCTCTGCAGTGGGACCTTACCTGTTCCTCTATCCAGCGCTGCGCTGTCTTCCCGGCTTCTGCAGTGTGGTCGCTCGGCTTGACAGCCGGGTGCCAAGTGCGCATGAGCGAGAAGCGCTGTGCTTTGTGATAGGTCCCAGAAGCCACCGGACAAGTCATGTGTCCCAGGTGCCGCCTTACCATTCACAAAGCGCACCACTTCTCGCGCATGCGCACTGGGCACCTGGCTGTCAAGCCAAGCGCCCACACTACAGAAGCCGGGAAGACAGCACGGCGCTGGTTAGAGGAACAGGTAAGGTCCCGCTGCAGAATTGAACAGCCGGCCCTGTATTCTGACACTGCGGTGGTGGAAATACCGGACCGGCTGCTCCATATTCGCTCCATAAGACGCACTGACATTTTCCCCCTTTTTTGGGGGGGAAAAAAGTGCGTCTTATGGAGCGAAAAAAATACGGTAGTTCTAAAAAGGTAAACTTTTTTTTTTTTTTTTTTAACCCTAATGCATTTTCTGCATTAAGGTAAAAAGTCTTCTGTTATTATGATCCCCCCTCCTTACTTGAGCCAGATCTTGATACTGCCCTGTGCCCAGGAGTTGCGACTCTCGCCACTTTCCCTCTCCTCACAGGAATTGGCTCCTGATTCTGTCAATCAAAATCCTGTGATTAGGGAGCGGAGGGACAGGGCCAAGCCGCACTGTCTGTGTCTTTGGACATAGGCAGCATGGCTAGGTATTAAGCCTGCTCCAGTGCCTCCAAAGCAAGCTGCCTCCACTTGCCAAAGAGGAGGACACTAGAGTGCTGGTGAAGGACCCCAGAAGAGGAGGATCAGAGTTGCAATGGTTTTGCATAGAGAATATTTTATATAAATGTAAAGTATAACAGCAAAAAAAACTTTTTTTTAGTTTTGGATAGAGTGGAGAGGGATTAGAACCCCTGTCAGGTTTTATTGCTGCCTGTGCTCTTGTTAGGGAGATTCACCCTCGCTATTTGTCCTGTTTACTGTTATCACTGAAAGTAAAAGGAAAAAAAAAAAAAAAGTAATAGAAAGAAAGAAAAGTAATAGAGGGGAAATCTTTCAAAGGGGACACAATCCTGAGGACTTCAGAGGCCTCATAGAAAATCCCTGCAAATTAAAGGAATCGCCATCACTCTCCATTTTGGGTATGGGACAGGAAGTGAAGGTATATATCCCCAATGGGACACAGATGGCAAAAAAAAACAAAAAAAACATTACATTATCCAAAAGAAAAAAAGTTTTGCCTATAGTTCTACCTTAAGTTACTTAATTGCGATTTAACAAAATTTTAATTAATGCACAATAATTAACTAAAAATATCTGAAGTGTTTTGCATAACTTACTTGTCTTTCCAATGATGATGGCCATAGTGACCACAAATGTCTTCAATGCCAGTTAAAAGGTGATCAAGGAACTAAAAAAAAAAAAAAAAAAAAAACAAAAAAAAAACCAAAACAGCATTAGTCTTACCGTAAACATTTTAAAATTTGTTCATGACAAACAGTCATTTTACAGCTAGCCTTGTAGAAATGTACAATACTAATGACTTTGCAATATGAAAAGTTATTATGAGAACAAGGTGGACATGGATTTGTCAGATTCTTCTGCAAATGCTAGTTGCTTCCTATGTTGGACACTGAGCGAATATATTTTTGAATCCCAGATCATGTAAGCAGCAAGTCAAATGCTATTCTACATTAATGCTTCTTTTAACATGAATTTGTCCATTGAGTGGGACAGTGATTCAAAGCAGTACTTCTGAAGCTCTTCTGTAATCAGGTCACCAACATGTTGACATCAGTTGTGGTATTCAGTAAAGCAATGCACATGAATCTGATGGACTCTTTACTTTTGTCCATTTTAGTGCAGCAAAGTGTTTTTCATTCTGGTGCAAAAAAAAATGCATTTCATGTAGAAATCCCATTTTTCACTATGGAACTGGTTCACATCTATGTACTGCAGTTTGGAGTGAACGGGAAAGGGAAGTTATACTGTTCCATTCATATCTATTAGTGTGTACACACACACAAAACCTGCTTAAGGCATACTGCTCAGGACTTGTATTACAGCCTCCCTGAATCTTTGAACTATGACAATCTCTACAAAGTGTGATGGAACTCCTATAGCAACCTAGATACGCTAACAAAGTGGCAAACTGCACTAGTTGCAAAGCCCAAAATCAGCCAAAAGTCAGAAAAGTTTAGAGTATCAACTTTTTTTTGCTGTATGTAACTCTACTGGGAAGAGACCTCTTTTGTTAATTTCTGTGACTCTAACAGAAGAACTGACAGGACAAGAGAGACAGGCAGCCAAAGACAGCAATAAAAAAAATAATGAATTTGTTACTATATTGCCAAAAGTATTGGGCCACCTGCCTTTATATGCACACTTTAATGGCATCCCAGTCTTAGTCCGTAGGGTTCAATATTGAGATGGCCCACCCTTTGCACCTATAACAGCTTCAACTCTTCTGGGTAGGCTGTCCATAAGGTTTAGGAGTGTGTCTATGGGAATGTTTGATTATTTTTCCAGAAGTGTGAGGTCAGGCACTGATGGTGGACAAGAAGGCCTGGCTCGTAGTCTCCGCTCTAATTCATCCCAAAGGTGTTCTATCGGGTTGAGGTCAGAACTCTGTGCAGGCCTGTCAAGTCACTCCACCCCAAACTCGCTCATCCATGTCTTTATGGACCTTGCTGCACTGGTGCGCAGTCATGTTGGAACAGGCAGTGGCCATCCCCAAACTATTCCCACAAAGTTGTCCAAAATGTCTTGGTATGCTGACGCCATAAGAGTTCCCTTCACTGGAACTAAGGGGCCAAGCCCAACCCGTGAAGAACAACACCACACCATAATCCCCCATAAAACGTTACACTTGGCACAATGCAGTCAGGCAAGTACTGTTCTCCTGGCAACCGCCAAACCAAACCCGTCCATTGGATTGCCAGGCAGAGAAGTGTAGTTCGTCACTCCAGAGAACACGTCTCCACTGCACTAGAGTCCGGTGGCGGCGTGCTTTACACCACTGCATCCAAGGCTTTGCATTGCACTTGGTGATGTAAGGCTTGGATGCAGCTGCTCGTCCATGGAAAACTATCCCATGAAGCGCTCTATGCACTGTTGTTGTGCTAATCTGAAGGCCACACTATGTTTGAAGTTCTTTAGCTATTGACTATGCAGACAGTTGGTGACTTCTGCATACTGTGCACTTCAGCATGCACTGACCCCGCTCTGTCATTTTACATGGCCAACGTTCCAAGTTGCTTCCACTTTGTTACAATACTATGAGCAGTTGACCGTGGAATATTTAGTAGCAAGGAAATGTCATGGATGGACTTATTGCACAAGTGGCAACCTATCCCGGTACCACACTTGATTTCACTGAAGTCCTGAGATGAGAGTGTCCCATTCTTTCACAAATGTTTGTAGAAACAGTCTGCATGCCTAGGTGCTTGATTTTGTACACATGTGGCCATGGAGGTGATTGGAACACCAGAAACCAATGATTTGGAGGGGTGTCCCAATACTTTTGGCAATATAGTGTATGTCTGCACTTGACTGATTTTCTATTAGTTCCTGACCCCTCAGCTGTGACATCAATGAAAGTCAGACAGATTCTAATGCTGACAACATTCTTCTACAGGTCTATGACACCATAAAAAAAATCTCAGTGTGCCCCCCGTAAGATAAATGTCAGTACAGGAGACAGATTCATGTACCTGTTGGAAACAGGTACTTGAATTTTTGGCAAGCACTGTACGCACAATGAGACCTGAGTGTCTGTGCAGCTGAGCAAACCTCCTCGCTGCTGCAGTCGTCATATTGACAGAGCAGTGGGCAAGGAGTTTTGTAGCTGGGTGGAGGAAGCCTGATGGAAATTCAAAAGCACTAGTTCATCATTCAGTTGCTCCCCTTCTGACTGACAGCGAGCAGATCCATTGTCAATTGGCAGCTTACCTTTGACTATAGAATCCACCCACTCCCTGCTGTCAATTAAATGGAGAAAGCAGACCTGATGTGGAACTACTCCCTTAGCTTACCCATCAGGCTCTGCTTGCGGTTAGCATTACTGGTTACTAGGGGTCTGTGAGCTGCGAAGCTGACAGCGTTCTTGAAAAACAGTGATAGGTGGGAAGGGGGCAGCGCTGGCAAACATACTGCTCTGATACACAGCATACCAAGACAGGCACAGCGCTTGCCTCTGTATATCAAGAGTTGGTCTTAATTACCTCCAGTTTCGATGCCTATGCACTAAGTATTTTCTTTTCTTTTTTTTCTTTAGTGCAGCCATTTTGCAAAGCAGCTTTATTAACTACCAGAATATGCCACACATCCCAGTAAAGCCACCAAAAACTGTTGGCAGGGATGTGTCAATCTAGCATAAGACATTTTAAAGGGGCCATACCACCAGAAAAGTGTAGCTTTGCTGAATTCTCCCTATGTTTCTTCATGAACCACGCATACTTCATGAATATAATCTGGTTTGTTTCTGACAACACAGCTCCAGGTATATAAATATGAAATAAGAGTTTAGTTATATGTAAATTACTTTGCAAGAGTACTTTGCAATAAGATTCATATTGCTCCTATTCAGAGTCTCCACTCAAGGATCCATGGTTGTACTGATGCATACTTAAAGTGTTGTCATACAAGCCTGTATTTTACGGTCAAAGTGATATTAAAGGTTTTGTGTGTTTTTATTCTAAAAAACAAACATGTCATGCTAACCTGCTCTGTGCAATGGTTTTGCACAGAGCAGCCCTGATCCCCCTCCTCTCAGGTCCCCAGCTCCTGGCTTCTCCCCGTGTTAAGAAATCAAAATTATGATTCGGCACTTATATTGATGGCAATCTTGCAAAATATTTGGTTTTTATGATTAATCATAATTAATATTAATATGTGTGAATGGTCTTTTGACAAATGGTAGTATTACAATTCTTCAATTATAACTGAGACCAAAAGATATACAGTGGGGATCGAAAGTTTGGGCACCCCAGCTAAAAATTTGTATTAATGTGCATAAAGAAGCCAAGGAAAGATGGAAAAATCTCCAAAAGGCATCAAAATACAGATTAGACATTTGTATAATATGTCAAAAAAAGTTAGATTTTGTTTCCATCATTTACACTTTCAAAATAACAGAAAACAAAAAAATGGCGTCTGCAAAAGTTTGGGCACCCTGAAGAATTTATAGCATGCACTGCCCCTTTTGCAAAGCTGAGACCTGCCAGTGTCATGGATTGTTCTCAGTTATCATCTGGGAAGACCAGGTTATGTCAATCTCAAAGGTTTTAAATGCCCAGACTCATCTGACCTTGCCCCAATAATCAGCACCATGGGTTCTTCTAAGCAGTTGTCTAGAAAACTGAAACTGAAAATAGTTGATGCTCACAAAGCTGGAGAAGGCTATAAGAAGATAGCAAATTGTTTTCAGATGTCAATATCCTGTTTGGAATGTAATTAAGAAATGGCAGTCATCAGGAAAAGTGGAAGTTAAAGCAAGATCTGGAAGACCAAGAAAAATATCAGACAGAACAGCTCGCAGGATTGTGAGAAAAACAATTCAAAACCCACGTTTGACTGCACGATCCCTCCAGAAAGTTCTGGCAGACACTGGAGTTGTGGTACACTATTCCACTATTAAGAGATACTTGCACAAATATGGTCTTCATGGAAGAGTCATCAGAAGAAAACCTCTTCTATGTCCTCACCACAAAAATCATTGTTTGAACTTTGCAAATGAACATATAGAAAAGCTTGATGCATTTTGGAAACAAGTTCTGTGGACCGATGAGGTTGAAATTGAACTTTTTGGCCAGAATGAGCAAAGGTACGTTTGGAGAAGAAGGGGCACAGAATTTAATGAAAAGAACCTCTGTCCAACTGTTAAGCATGGGGTTGGATCAATCATGCTTTGGGGTTGTGTTGCAGCCAGTGGCACAGGGAACATCTCACGAGTAGAAGGAAAAATGGATTCAATAAAATTTCAGCAAATTTTGGATGGTAACTTGATGCCATCTGTGAAAAAGCTGAAGTTAAAGAGAGGATGGCTTCTACAAATGGATAATGATCCTAAACACACCTCAAAATCCACGGGGGGATTACATCAAGAGGCAAAAACTGAAGGTTTTGCCATGGCCTTCACAATCTCCTGACCTCAACATAATTAAAAATCTATGGATAGACCTTAGAAGAGTAGTGCGTGACAGACAGCCCAGAAATCTCAAAGAACTGGAAGACTTTTGTAAGGAAGAATGGGCAAAGATACCTCAATAAGAATTGAAAGACTCTTGGCTGGCTACAAAAAGCGTTTACAAGCTGTGATACTTGCCAAAGGGGGCAGTACAAGATATTAACTCTGCAGGGTGCCCAAACTTTTGCAGACGCCATTTTTTTGTTTTCTGTTATTTTGAAAGT